ATATATATATATTATGTACAGTAGTTCTTTTGAAAGGTACATGACACACATGCATTTACACACCATGAATCTACTTGTGTTCTTTTGATGGGAAAGGGATCATTATGCATTAGCATATGTGATGAGCCATTTGCACGGAGACACGGAAGTCCTAGCATTTGTTTGCAACTGACCTGATGGCGGACTTCAAGCTTGCAGTTGATGAGAACAACAAGGCCACAGAGCTGCCCTTGCTGCGAATCTGTGGCACTGTTCAACAAAATCCACATATGAGAGCCTTCTGGGGAGCGACCTTCTCTTTCTTCCTGGCCTTCTTGGGTTGGTTTGCTTTGGCGCCTTTGGGACTGGAGGTGGCCACTAGCATGGGGCGGTGCGAGAACCAGCTTTATCCAGTGGATACCAACCCCAAGCGAGTGGCTTACTTGAAGTACAAGAACATCTCTACCACGGACACATACTGCCAATATGGCACGGTGAAGGACAGTGAGGGCACACTCACTGACTGTGCTGAAGTGCCAAGCGACATTGCCAACAACGCCACTGCATCTGCTGAGGAGAAGCTCAAGTACCGACCTCAGGTGCTGGCGAAATGCGTTTGCACCACTGGAACCCAGTGCAATGGCATCATCGCCAATGCTGGAGTGGCAGCTGTAGCATCGACCATCTTTGTTCGCATTGCACTTGGAACGCTCTTGGAGCGATTTGGCCCCGTGAATGTGCAGTCAGGTCTATTGACATTCGGAGCCATTTGGGTCGCTTTGGCTGCAACAATTCAGGTTCCATGGCAATACACCATCATCCGATTCTTTATTGGATGCGCTGGGGCCACTTTCGTGACGAACCAGTTCTGGTGCTCCTTGATGTTTGCGCCGAATGTGGTCGGCACTGCCAATGCCACCGCAGCTGGCTGGGGCAACTTGGGTGGTGGTGTCACACAGATCTTCATGATCTCTGTGCTCTTCAACCCTATGGTGAGCAGCGGTATGGAAGCGGACACAGCCTGGCGAGTGTCTATGATCATTCCGGCCATTCTTTTCCTCATTTGTGCGGCAGCAATGAAGCTCTTGTGCTGGGACACGCCAACGGCTAAACGCTTTGATGTGGCTGTTACTGGCAAGACCAAGAAGCCATCCATGTGGGACTATGTGGAAGTGCTGAAAGACGTTCGTGTGGTTGTGATGATCTTCCAGTATTCCGCATGCTTTGGCACAGCTGCTCGTCTTGATGATCGATCGACTTACTGCAGGTTTTGTTTAGTTGCAGTTTTGTAGTGGAAATGATGGCAATAGGGTTTAAGCTTTTTGCAGGGTCGCTTGCCACAACTGAAGGAACTCGCCATGAACAACCAATTGGCTACTCACTTCAGAACCTATTTCCAGCTGCCTGCGGCCGATGCTTCTGCCTTGGCAGGAGCTTTCGGGCTGATGAACCTTTTTGCCCGCTCTTTAGGTGGCATCTCAAGTGATCTCCTCTTCAAGTACGTAGGGTTCCGTGGTCGTATTTGGGCGCAATTCTTGGCCCTCTTCTTCGAGGCGATCTTCCTTTTCTGTTTTGGATTGGTTGACAACTCGCAACCATGGTATGTGGCCCTGGCCGTACTTGTTTGCTTCTCTTTGTTTGTCCAGATGGCAGAAGGCACGAGCTATGGGATTGTGCCTTTCATGAACAAGCAACAGCTGGCAGTGGTGTCTGCACTTGTGGGGGCTGGTGGCAACTTGGGAGCTGTCATTGCCGGCTTTTGTTTCTACCGACCTATCAATGACCCATTGATTCCGTTCCAAGTGCATGCGGGCTATGTCATGTTCTGGGCATTGTTGACCCCGCTCTACTACTGGCGTGAGCATGGCGGCATGTTCCATGGCCCAGCCGTGACAGAGGAAAAGGTTGAGAAGTCTCAAGCAGAGGAGCCTGCTGGGCCTGCTGCAGACGTTGCCGTGTAACTTCCGTGTAAAACATGAGAAATGTGACACTGCTTAATCACGTAACAGCAAAGGACAGCTGAGAGCAGCGCCTTGCTGCGGCCCTTGCATGGAGTGCAGGACCGTTAGGAGATTGACAGTGGCTTCAATTCCTCTGGAAGACGTCGCAGTCAGTCAAAAA